TCCTCCCCAAAGTGGTGAGCCGCGGTCCGTCCGCAGAATCGTGAGGACATGGCCGGGTCCAAAGATCTGGCTCTAAAGTCGGGGACACCCCACTCACCTGGCAAAAGGACAGATGCGAGATCATTTAGAACTTGGGTGGTTGGGTCCAACTCACTCCTTTTTTGATCAGCCAGGCATTCCATTTTCATCCACTTCCGCGACACACCCACACCCACACAGATTTCCTAGACACTTCCAATCGGGCACCAACCACAGCGAGCTGTTCAAGCCAGGCAGCGCGCAGGTGTCACGGTGATAGGCAATGGCCCTGGCAGCCAGGCTGGAAGAGATAAAGTTGAGTGCGGAGTGCTGGGGGGCTGGCAAACGTGGGAACTGCTAGGAAGCAGTTGGACACATCAACTCTCCTCTGTAATTCAATGTGTGCCCGTTTCTACTAGTATGTTGGATTTGGGAGAGTAGTATTAAGCAGTAAGCGGATACCATGAGGGACCAATATGCCCACCCTCATGGCTCGTATAAGTAGGATGGGGGGGACTGCTGCCCGAGGGCATGTACTGTAATTGGTAGAGTCCCTTGCCTACTTTGCTTGTTGCTAACTGCTAGCTAGCTAAAGAGGCCGTTTTTGGTTTGGTTCTCGAACAACTTCCAAACGAGGCAATGTGAGTTTGCACTGTTTGGCCAGCTAGCATCAACTGGCTGCCACCCATTTTGAATGCATGGAATTGGAAGGGTTTTGTTCCTGAAAGCAGCCCTTTTTCATGCTTTATTAATTAGTTTGATCATTTCAGCCAGCATTCATGATTCATGCATGCTATAGTGCCTGCTGCAAACCTCCCAAAAAGACAACGAGCCGAGCCCAGCCCTTTCCGCCCCCCACCGGGCCAGATCAAGACTGCTGACGGCCTCACGTCTTTCGTGACCCGCGGCATGGGTGACGTAGCCGGGGAAGCCCAGCGCGGGCAACACACGGCCGCTGGCGCAAAGGGCCGAGCCGAGGGTATCTGGGGCAACTGATTCTTTTTTGATGCCATACCAATCTACATCCGCCCTTCTCTGCAAGTCTGAGTCCATGCCATCCATGGTTCCGGCATACCTAGCGGCTAGGCAACGACCCTGCTGAAGAAGGGACATAGACTCAGAACCCCATTGGCCCAGGGGACGTGTTAACCCGGACGCCACGCATCATCCATCACCTTAGCATCCATCCTGTGGGGGTCATATGATGCCATATGGCGTTCCTCCGTTCGCCCTCCGAGGCTTGGAAGAAGACCTCCAATGGCGTGCCGGTGGGACCGGATGGGACGGGTCGGAGGGACGGGTCGGGGCGGGGCCAGGGGAGTGGTGCAGACCTGAAACTGGCTCCGTCTTGAAGCTTCTAAAGAACTTCTTATTGGATTTGAGCGTCTCGGATCTTTAGGGTGTTGGATCTTGAAATCTGCGGTGAGAAATCAGTCTTAAAATTGGGTGTTGGGTGGAAAGAATCAAGTCTTGAAGGACTTTCTGTCTGGACAAATTGCGGACATCAGGTCACAGTCAACTGGATGCCGTGCACGTGTCCATTGAAGGAGTGCTGCTTTGGAACAATGCACCTGCTTTTCCTTTCATGAAGACTTATGGTGCATGCTTGCAATCAAACTGGTGTTGTGATCTTTTGTTGTTTTGTTTGCTTTTTTTGCAGAAGCACTTGTCGCGCAGAGCGCTTGAAATTGTGTGCGCCGGGGTGCCGCTGGCTGCAGCAGCTGCCAATGCTTGGGCAGATTACAGTAGATCTGGTTTAGGGGGTTGGTTTGTTGATGCAGGTTGGGCAGTGAACTGGTTCCACGATGTTCCACGTTGGGCAGAAACTCACGGGAGTGGCCGCAGACCATGCAGAGGGGAATCAGCGCTATTGGAATTGCTTTCGGAGCAGGTAGTGTTGCGACATTTCTCCGACAACTTCAGCGCAGTTGGCTCCATGGCCAACGGTTTGTCCACAAAGTTTCCCCTGGAGGCAATGCTGATGATCATGGCGCGTGTGTGTTTGGATTTGGGACATTGATGAGATGGAGCTGAGTCATGTTCCTGGGTTGAGAAACGATGAAGCGGATGCTTTATCAAGCATATGTTTGCTGGTGGAAAGCGCTGTCCTTCAGCAGTTTCAGGACCAAAGCCGTGTGAACATTGCAGCTCAAGATCTGTTCAAGCCGTGGAATAAACTCCTCTGTCGAAAACAGACTCTGCAGTCAGGAGTCTAGGAGTGTGTGTGTGTAGCTGGGACAACAGCGTGACATTAAGAGTTGGCACGTGCCTTTCAGCGGCCTGGACAACCGCCGCCCTGGTCTTTGGAGGGTTTCGGGCTGTTCCTGCGGTGCTTTGGGGGCCAACCCCCTGGGAACCCACTGGGTTGGCCCGGTTGGCAGGCCCGCAGCTTCTGTGGGGTGTGCGTGCGAACTAGGTTTAGTTTAGATCATATGACATGCAAGAACAAAGCAGTGCAGGACAAGCAACGGGAGAAGGAGAGAGGGAGAGAGAGTCCATTTGGGTTTTCAAGGGTGCATACCAGGGGGTTTCTGACGGACGTTACCGTGACCCAGCCCGCGCGCACCATCCCAGGCCAGTTTAGATCAGTGTAGTCCTCCAGAAATCCAAGATCTGCTGCGGCCCTGGGCAGAGTTTTTGGCACATCCTGGAACTGAATCTGTGCCAGGAGTTTATGATCAAGAATCAGCACCAGGAAAAACAAGACGCTTGATTAATAACATTAAATAACACAATGTAAAGAGGTTGTTCAATTCAATGGTGGACGGTGGACATGTCTTGTTTTTAGGCAAAATCTTCTCAAAAAGACCTGCGGTCATCCGATTTGGGCATGTGATTTCGCGATGGCCCCTTGCCGATGGCCCTTCGACGATGTACCTGTGATCCTCTTGGTTTCGACAATGATCACGTAACCTTTGGTAAGACAAGATCTCTTTTGCCCCAGGGTCTTGAAGATGGATGATGATGTGGACCTTTCATCAATCAGGACACGGTCAAAAAGACCGATGGATCTGACGATCAGTCCTGCATTCCGGAGGTTTTGTCCTGCATTCCGGAGATTCAGTCCACCAAGCTCTCATGGGCGGAGAAGCCTCATGCTCAGCGTTTTCTGCGATTGCGCCTTTTTCAAACCGGGTGCGTGGGGAGCCGGCCAATGGAGACCTTTTTTGGGGAACAGATAATTCAAATTACCCACAAAAATAATAAGACCTATTAAATGTTACCTCAAAATTCAAGGTACAACAACATTCACATCTGGTGAGGGCACACTGCTTTCTGCTTGACACCTAAAAGAGCGGCTGAGGCAGAAGTTCTTCATGCTCAACAGCAAGCCAGTTGCAGAGGTGCGTGCGGTGGGTTTTCTCAGAGAGGTTGTTGGTTTTCCATGGGACCTGCAGTATGGGCTTCGACGCAACTCTGTAAGGGGTACCTCCCTACCACAGAACAGTGGACTTTCAACATTCGCAATACTCTTGTCTCCAATCCGAAGTGGTGGTCTATATAGTAGGTTTTCTATACAGTCTTTAGGATTTGAGCCAAGAGTCGTGACAGTCCCGAATTACAATGTACATCAATGTACAACATGTTGGATGCAAAGAACGTTGAATCGGCTTTTTCAACCTGAGCATCCTGAAGGTTCTGAATCTCGGGGTTTCTGGTTGCTCCCTTGATTGGAAGGCCTTTACTGAACAGGAGCTGGTCGTGGCTTGGCACTGGTTAGCTCGCTGTCGGCTGTGGCTTTTACTGTTGTGGATGCGGCGGAGCCCTGCGCAGTATTCAGACCGGCTAGGGGCGAGATAGGCTTCAATCACTGTTCCTGGCATTGAGCGAGATGGTCAAAGGAACATGCACACGAGAGATCGCTTCGCCAAACACAAGACACCAAACAGATCCGAAACACGAAAGGAAACCATCAAAAGCCCCGGCGCCGCACCTTTCATTGGGGGTCTGTTCAGAAGTGCATCGCCAGTGCTTATTATATCGGTGGTGCTTGGGGGACTCCGGAAAGTGGTTCTACGGAGACTGTGGGTAGTGAATCTGTGGAGATTCGTTATGTTAAACCCGATACCACAGCGCCGGTGTCGAAGGGTAGTTTCCCTCTCTTCTTTTTCTTTCTCCGTTTCAAGCATGTCGACGTTTTCTTTTCTGAGCCAAGGATAGCCACGGCTAGCCACGGCTCCCCTCAAAGTGTCACCACGACTTGCAGGAAGTGTTTTCTTCTCGTCCTGAAGGTTGCTGTGCGGTACCATTGCCATTGTGGAAGGTTAAGTGGGATGAACAGCAACGTGGCAAACATACTATATAATAACATTATTCAGGATGGCTTGTGCAGATATGGTTGGTGCTAGTGGGCTGCAAATCGTGTGGCAGCAAACTTGCCTGGCAGAGCACATCAGGCTAGACAGGAAACCACAGCAACTCCTTGGTCAATTTCTAGGCAAAATTGGAAAGTTGACCAGTTTTCCAATGGCTGCATGACTGCGCAGTCGTTTTTTTTCAAGTGGAAGTGCCGATCGGAAGTGTCGATCCCTTGCACTCGATCGTTGTTCCGGTGGTGTCTATAGTTCGATCTACAGGTCAAGAGTCTACATGAAGCTTCCCGCACGGTGCAAGTCTCGCCCCGTATCTTCACGCCGCTTTGTGTAGCTCAAGCAAGCTAGGCGTTTTCCGCAAGAGCCGGCCATGGTTTTCGGGGATTGTGCTTTCCCCAAGAAGCGGGTATAGCCGGTATAGCTCTATGAAATCGTGCGAGTTTCTTTTTGCACACCAGGAACCGTGTTTTTTTGGTTATTAGTAAGTAATTCACAATTCAATGAAAATGGGACACATGACTGTAGTCGGAGATGTTGCAGCTTTATAGTTCGCTTTCAGAAGGAGCGCCCAACGTACGGTTCGGGCTCAAAAACGCTCATTGCAGGACCAAAACGCGGCCGTTTTCCTCTAAAGTTTTGGTTCCCTCCGTGGTGCCAAGACTCATCGCCATGGATCACGAGTCGTCAACGGTGCGCCATCGGGTGGTGCTGGGTGACACTGTGCCGCTGGGCACGATGGGCACCGGGACGTGCCGCTGTGTTGGATGGACCACAGAGCTTGAGCATCACCCATGTTCAAGGAAAGAAAGACACAAAGAACACCCTTTTGTTGAGGTGGTGCCAATGTCTTTGTTTCCACTATATATAGGCTATAGGGTTCGTGGAGCAGCCAATTTGGATACCCCAGGCGTTTTGAGGACTTGAGTTCATTTGTCCACTAATATAAAAACATTGGCACTGAAACCACAATACTTGTGGGGTTTCACAGAGTTTCTATTAGCTGTATATAAGGATATATACATCTATATGTATATAAGGTCTCACTCCCATTCACAGTCAGTACCATAACATATGTCGACTGGACATTCGCCATGCGACCGCTTCAAAGCTGTGGTCACACCCAAACACATCTTACGGTGGTCAATACGGAGTGGTGCGGTCCCACCCCCCTCAGCCGATGAAGCAGTGTTTCCCGTGAAACGCCGGGAGGATGCGAAACTCCGCGCGCGAAACACACGGCGCAAGCGGAGCGGAAGCTTTCAGACATGTCTGTGGTGGGACTGGCAGATGGGTTAGGGTTTCTATTTTGGCAGACTGAGACCTCCCTGGCCCAATGATTGTCCTTTGTTGTTCCAGGTCGACGTTGAGGGGTCGACCTGCAGTTCTTTTTTTTTTTTTGTTTTCCCGTTTTTAGAACATGGAGTAGACTCTTGATCAATCAAACTGTCAATGGAAGAGGTTTTACGTGTTCTTGATTGATCAAGAGTCTACTGGTTTCATCAGTCTTTCCATATTGTTCAAGGAGGATTTGTAGAGAGCTGAAGGTAGACCCAGACCCGACCCGAGATTGTTCCGCAACCACTTCTTCTCCAGCAAACGAGGAGACAAGACCTACACTTTGTCATGAATCGTTTGAATCACACTGACTTATATAACCCACTTCACTCAAACTGGTGGCAATGTCATACTTGTAGCAGAGATATTACAACACCCAGTGACTCTAGACTATACAGTAGGTGATTCTGACTTTTCCTGGGCTAGAAGTCAGTGCTCTGGGTCTGGGTTCCTACACAGTCACATTGATATCCCCATCTGTTCGCAGGAATATCAATGTGCTACGAATGACATCGTCTTGGAACAGTTTTATTGCTAGCACTGATCAATTGCGATGACACGTGCCTCAATTTCTGGACTGAAGACCGAGGCAGTTTGCGATCCCGTCCAAAGAAGGAGAAGACGCCTCTCGGTGAGACGTGTGAAAGACCTTCATCAGGCACATGTCCAGGAACAATCAGCAATCCTTTTTCTGGTGTATGCATTTTGTAATTCTTTGTATATTTTTGTACAGATAGTGTTGATGGATGATTGTTGGTGAAGGCCTGTAGGATTCTCCATGCATTTGGCTTATTGCCGTCTTGCGGAAGTTTCTGGGTTTTTGACAGTGATGAGCCACTTGCTTCGCGACTCGGACGTAGGAAAAAAACAAATGCCATATATTCTTGACCTGATTCAGTTGACCTCGGGCCTCGGGCGGATGGTGTGCAATTTCGATGGCCTTCCAAACCTTTCTAGTCGATGAAGCTACACCTTGTCCGCGGCACGGCGATGGCCGTCGGACCGACTACCGAGGATCCTCGAACGCCGGATCCACCCGAAGAGAACACAGAGTTTGAAGGTGGGGCCGGTGGCAAGACAAGCGCAGTCGAAGTGGACGTGGGAGAATTGGATTGAGGTGATGGCCTACCAAATGGCCTACAGTATCAACGATCAACTATCAACCTGCTAAAGGTTGGCAGTTCCGACCCCTTGGTTGCGTTCTAAGGATGCTAAAGGTGAAGTTGATTCCCCTGCAGACTCCTGGAGATCTGCTTCTGGGACACCAAAAAGCTATCCATTCTCCACCTGGCACCCTAAAACCAGGTCCACGAGAGCCAGATCAATAGGTCGGTCACCGCCGAAGCCAGAACAATAGGTCAGGTCACCAGTTCGGACCCCAAAAACCGAGCCCCGAGCGTCTCTTTTTCGTTTTCGCCGCCCTCCTGCTCGGTCGACTGGTGAAGAAGGTGGGACAGTGGCGGCACGGGAGAAGAAGGTGAGAACTGTCTCATGAAGAACCACTGCATTCTCCCAGGTGTTCATTTACGTTCTCACCTGGCTTTTCCGCATGGTCAACATGACTCGATGGTGAAATTGTGTTGAGAAAGAAGACAGACATGTCCCACTGGGGAGCTCCAAGATCAATGGACCCTCAAGGCCTAGAGACCCCAGAAATTTCAAGACTCCGGAATACAGGAATTTCCCTTTGGACCGGAAAGGGGCTCCACCTACACATCCTGGAATCATGGAAAACCACCCATTTAACAGAGGATTTCATGTTCATCCAAGGGGCCATGCCATCCACTTCCGCGATGATTCCAGGCAGTGTATACCTTTGTTTCGGTTCGTAGGCGCCAGGGAAAAGCGCAACCCTTTGATGCGACAAACGGCCATCGAGGCTCTGGAGGTTCTTGGGGCACCTCGAAAGGAAGCGGTTCTGCAGGCGAGACATGTTTTTCGGGGCGGCGTTTTTTTCGAGGTCTCTTCTTTCGGGTTGGGACGGGGGGGCCTTGGAGGGAGTTGCTGCCAGGAGCGATTAATCGCTGTGCATGTGCTCCATCTTGCTTCTTCTTCTCTTTTCTCCTGGTTGTTGGTGTTGCTGCTGAGACTGACTGTCCCTGGCGGTGGTGAGTATATGCTAGCGCTGCTGCTACTTGCTTGCAGCTGCTAGCACTGACGTCCACTTGCACCTTACTCTACACTACAGAAACAAGGAGCAGGGTCAGTAGATGACGCTGTAACCAGAGAAGCAACCAGAGATTGAACAGCTTCTGTCATGTGCTTCACTTGTTTTAGATTGTTTTAGATGGTAACCCTTGTTTTTCTATGTGTTTCTCACTTCCTATTCAGCCACACCCGGGTTTCGTTGTGTAAAGAGAATGGCTTCGTCACACGAAACCGTTGCGGTCCATGACATCAGCGAGGTGTGTCTTCCGGAAGTGCTCCAGGCGGGGGAACGGTGCCCAAAGGGCGACGATGCCTGTGCATCAAATCCGAAACTGGTCCAAACGCCATGGGGGGGGAGTTGACATCTTGGGTATTCCATTCATTGTGATTCCACACCGTCGGCCTTTGGTTGGCGATCCCAAAGACGGCGTCGTCGAAGACGTCGTCGAAGACTGAAAAACACGGCCAGGGATCGAAGAGCGTACGATCATCGTAGAGCAGCCCACTGGGAACATCGTTCATCCCCTAAAAAGCATTGTCTTTGAAGGGTCAATCCACGTCCATCCACTTATATCATCTAATATCCACTTCCATGATTGGTGTGATTACTTGCACCTGGAGCTTTTCTTTTTCTGCTTTCGATGGCTCCGCCTCCCTTGCATCCACTTCAACGGCTTCAACGACGCGGTTAACGTGTTCTTGTCGACTTTTTGAGGAACAAATTCAGACGCGAGCTGCATGCCACCCATGCTACCTGGATCGATCATCCTGTCTGGGTGCCCGAGGTCCAATCAGTGTAAGATAGTCTATTGACTATTGGACCTGTTGGATGATCCAACATTTCTGCCTTTTCACCCATAACACTAGCCAGAAGGAAGATACTTTGTATAATTGGATGATCCAGGATATACGTATACATTATCTTAAACATTTCGCCTTACCTTCGATGACCTGAACCTACTCCACGGGGTTGGTTGATCAGCCGTTCCGAGGGAAGTGTTGAAAGGGCGTTTGGGCGGCGTTGTGGGGTCCGCCGGTCCGCATAACTTTGCTTCCTTTCTCAGTGTTGCACGCAATAAGATCGCAGTGTTGCACACAATAAGATCCTGTCATCCTGTCTTTGGGTTGACCATGACAATCACACGCTGGACGTGTGCGGGATCCTTGATCAGATCGGGCCCGCGGCGTAACCGGGCGACAGAACAAGCAAACCTCCGTGGTGGAACAGTTCCACCACGCAACCTGTTTCGTCTCATTTGACCGAATCAACGAGTTTGAGAGAAGGAATGGTCGCTCGTGCTGACTGGGAAGGGTATATCTTTGTGGTGACGTAACATGGTGCTGCGGGGCCATATCCAAGCGTCACCAACGACTTCTCACCAGTTCCATGTCGTGCTTAGTGGAGGTCATTTGCACAGTGCACAGATGGCCACTCACGTGGAGTCCAAGAACCACCCTGACCTGGAACGCCTGGCGTTCTCATTGGCCATTTTTGGCCTCTCCAACGGGCGCACGACCGGAGCGATGTGAGGGAAAAAGTCATGGCAAGACCATCATGAACCGCGGAGCTTCCTAAGAGGTCTGTCATACATGTTCCAGGCAACAGCGGTTCGGAAACGAACTACAATCTAATTAATCTGCTCATAGTACACTAGTGATTTGTGGTGTGCTCACGACGCTTCTCGCAGAACAGTTTCATCGATTTTCCGTGTGACGTGCAGGTGCGCACCGACGACAAAGCGCTGGTCATCCAGGCGAAGCTGAGTCCCGTGGGCCGCGGCGGGTGGTACCACACGAAGAGTCCTTGTGGTTATGACCGGGTCTCCAAGATGGCAATCCTCTCTTTCCTGTCGATTCTGAGGCGAGAGAGCTGGTATCCAAGACAGATACGATTTGTTTTTGGTTTTAAAGCCTTTGAGAATCCCGAAAGCAAAACTAAGAACCCCTAAAACACAACTTGGAAATCCTCAACAACCTCCAAAGACACTCCAATGATCAACAACATCCGAAAGACACAGCTTGCACAATCTCCCTGTGGCATTTTGCTCGGGACATGTTCGGTAGGAGATGGAAAGCTCCTGAACCAGTTGTCTTGGAGATTGATGACTTTCCATGGTGTTGCGGGAGATCAATCCAACCGAGAAGCTGTTACAAGGGATTGCCTACTGTTGTTGATAAATTCAATGTCCTGCGGTGTGTACTGTTAGTATGGCAGGGCTGGATCACAAACACCGCGAAAACTTTGAGAAGGCGGCTGGACACGATGCTCAGCCCGGATGCTTAGCCTCCGGGCTCGTTCAACTGACGGTTTTTTCTCGTTCGCAGATCGAACGAGCCCAGCCTTTCAGGCCCATCCCCAGCCTTTCTGGCCGTGGTGGAGCAACTGGTGCAACAACACCAGGTCGAGCTCACGCTGTGCCTTGGAGCGGCGCCTAGACCGTCTTTTCTCAAAAGAGCTTGCACTTTGGGTTACATTATAAAATAAGTCGAAAAGAACGCCCCAGCAACAACGCCAAGAAGACCGACATGTTTCCATCCAAAAGTACAACTTGGAAGGATCTAATCGAATCTACTCTTCATTCGTTCGATTTCGATTCCAAGAAGTACACACACGAAGCTACTAGGGGTTCCTGGCATCGCTACGAACGGAGCAAGGACGCTACGAACGGGGTCCTGGCCGTACTACTAGGAACAAGAAGCTACTAGGAACAAGTGCCTTACTAGTAGTAACAAGAAGCTACTAGGGGCTCCTGGCCTTACTACTAGGAACAAGAAGCTACTACTAGGAGCTTTTTCTCCCCACAGACCGCGGTCGATGCCGCTCTCCGCTGGTCTCCATGCCCCGAAGAACAGGTAACGTGGAAGGTACATGGGAAGAGAAGGGTGGAAAACAACCAACCGCCCATGGAATTTTAGCCTGAGAGTTCTTAGATCAAAGAGACAAAGCTCCCTACTTCACAAAAACACCCAGAATTCACACGAATTCTCTTCAGACTCAGAAGAAAGAGTAGCTGAGCCAGTCACTAGAGATGTCCCGCGCTCCATCGCTGGGCAGCCGGCCCCACCAGCCGGACCCAAAAGTGGCGGCTTCGAGTCGAAAGACAGGGTGTTTCTGGGGCCCAGGACTCACAGATCATGTTCCTTGATTTTCCAGGTCCCAAGAGGATTTGGATGGATTTGGATGGATTTGGGTTCATCCCGAACTGGAGGTTGGCAACACTGGGAAGCAATGTTTTCAGTGAAACGGAAGGTAACGGGCTTCAGTGCTGCAACGCACTTCCCTTCAGGGCCAAGACGCAGAGTCGCAAGATGAAGAGCTTTGATCTCCCGGCAGCAAACACACAAGCGACTGGTCGAATGAAACAGCAAGTGGGGGGGTGGATGCACCCTTGGTGTTTGTGCACATTAGGTGCACTAGACACTTGGCCCCAGGGCCCTGCTTTACAGGTGTAGACACATGAAGGGATTGAGAGCTGGGTAGGGGAACCAAGGAACAATGTTGTTTGGGCAGGAACCCGAAGAAAGCAGTTGAAGTCGATATTGAACGCCCCAAAGCAGGGTCAGTGCCTGAAACCGATTGAAGTTCAAGGCCATCATGTTATGTATGCATATGGTACTCAGCTGTCTTGATCTGTGCATAGTAGATAATCACTTTTGGTAATGCACCTGCCTGGAGCCTTCCACTCTTGATATCGACTTCAGTCGACATCTGACCGATTGTGGACCTCCCTCGGGGTGACGAAAGTGGACTCCTCATGGTGGGTTTCGGCGTCTTCTCTGGCTTCTGTCTCATTGTATCTCAGGGGAACAGGACCTAACTGAGGGACTTATATAACATGACATGCGAAAGCGGCTCCCAAAAGGCTAGAGTGGTGCGAGTTGCTGGGTTATATATTTATTTGCCAATGATGCTGGAGACGATTTGGATTGATTGTTTTTTCGACTTCAATGATCTATTGTGACTGGCATGGAGGCGTGTATCTGTAAGCACCTGCAGGTGACCCATTTAGAGAATCTTTCTTATAGCAGCCTACAGAGCTTGGATCCTTTTGTAGCAATCATTATATAAATATATATATATATATGCCGCTTGGATCCTTTTTGGGTCGCCTTGGGTTTTTCCTCATCAAGGAGGTCGGTTGAGCTGTGCTTAAGCAGGACCTGGCTCACCTGGCTTTTCGGGCTGTCTGAGGATATGGAGCGCCTGGTGTCGTGCTCGTCCAATGCCTATGGATCATACGGTCGCAAGTCCGAGGCACCCGGTGTTGGGAAGCATCACCTTTTGGTACTGTTGAGTGGTGAGTGCCAGGTCCCCACCCCAGTGAGTCACAGAGACAGGCGACTGCCAGGACTGCCTGGACTGGGCCAAGCCACCATCGCCATGGGCGATTCCAAGAGGGCCAAAAGAATGCGCAGCCAAGAATGGGATGTAAGCTTCTCCTTGGTCGATGCTTGCGGGTTGATCTGCTGTCCTTGATCCAAACCCATATAAGACCGAAGAGATTCTATTGACAGTGGACCAAATGCAACCCTCACACTTGTCCATCATATTGTCTAGCTAATATGCTTCACCTTGGAAGGTGAGGTGCTTGCTGCCAAGAGTCTGCGACCTCCCTTTCGCGAGCGCGCGGCGCGCTCAAAAGCGCATCAGGGCTCCCAGCATTCCTTGAAGTCGGGGTCGCAAGGCTCTCTGCCCAAGGGGAAGCTTGTCAGATGGCCGTCGCTTTCAGCCGCCGTCGGCCATGGGGGTGTGGGTGTGGGGGTGTTAAAGGGCTTGATGGGGATGTTTCGGGATCGGGGTGCTATTTGAAGACCCTGCAATCTCTTGCAGACCTTTTCATCGCCTTTTTGGACAGCTGATATCTATATCGCAAAGGTTATAAACCACCTGAATTGGGAGCAGAACGTGGACTTGGCGCGTAGACTTGAACATGCACTGTACCTCGAACAACTCTATTATGATTTCTCCTTGCAATTGGGGATATATCCAACACGGTGCAGGATTTGTGCGTTTGTTTGTTTGTTTGTTTGATTCGGCAGTGGATTCCATAAACAAGACCTTCAGCCTACACTGGTTCAGCTACACAGGGCTCACACAGGAAGGATTCGTCATGAAGTTATTGAGAAATACTGATACCGATACCCTTAGCTGCGTCCTACACAGAGTTTTCCGGCGAATTCTTGCCCAAGCTTGATGGGCTAAAACGAGGGCGGCCTGGCCTACACATGGGCCATCGAAATCTGTGAAAGGAAGAATCGGGTCTAGCCTGTAGGTGCCTAGGGGACTAAATCAGACACATCCAAGTGGGAGGCTTGCAGTCTAACAGACGCTTCCAAACTCTTCTTTGGATATTAATACTGACTGAACAAAGGCGCCAGTCAGCTCGGTATTCCCATGCAGTCGTCCGCGTTCGCATGGGTTTTGCGTCCCATGAGCTCGATGAGATCGATGCTTGCGAGGCAGGTTTCAACGACGATCATCCATTTCTTCCAACCTTTGGATGATGGACCAATTTGAAGATCCATGTAGATTCCCCAAGTTTGGTCACCTCTAGAAGGGATCCAACTTGCATGGGGTCCAATCCAAGTTAGCCAATCCAAGCTGAAAGTGGTTGCCCCAATGCTTGATCGTGGGTGGCATACCTTGTGGTGGCGGCGGGGGTGGTGGTTTTGGTAGGAATGCTGGGCTGGCCCAATTGATCAGTCTTTTTTTTTGGAATACAACTCGTGACAAAACATCATCGTCCATGACATGAACCGAAATAGGTCCGTATGCCCTCTGTCCAAGGTCCTCATGCTGAGCCTCCAACCCCATCCATAAAGAAGAAAACGCTGAAAGCTCGGGGCCAACCATTGGCCAATGTTCCACTTCCAGATGCCCTAAAATAGGGTAGTAGGCGAATCTAAAAAGGGATGTAAAGGCCAATGACCCACTGGTACCACCCATGGTAATTCGATGCCAACCAATGACGCTTCGAGGCCAACTGCCCACGGAACCAAGTACTATGGGTAGGGGGCGCGAATGACTATCGCACGAGTTGACTCAGGATGTTGCAGCGCAGCGGAACGGTGGCCGCCAAGGTCATGTGTGCCTTGCCGATTTGGAATCAACAATCTCTTTGTATCTCTTCATAGAGGGAACGACATGCGCTGGAAATATGTGAATATATTTCCAACACCCGTCCTCTATAATGGCCCTTTATTGTTTTCTATGTCATGTTAATTTCATCAATATGAGTAATATGTCATATTGAGTAATATGTCATATTGTGAATATGTACACATCTGACCCAATTGAACTTCAGATGACCGATGGTCGTGTTTCCATTGGGGCCATCTTCTTCGTGCGAAGCCTCGAAGCCCAGTCTTGAACCAAAAAAACAAAAGCCGAGTAGCTGCATCGACGGGTTTAGATTGCCTTCGGCAATGTGTTGGTTCTGAACGTCCAAAAACACTTTCGTCCTTCTGTGTCCCATCCCCTTTTAGACTGCGACTGAGACTGAGGTGGCACAATCCAAAAGACAGCTGGACAATCCAAAAACGGTTTCATCTATACATATTGGTTGACATGTGGTTGGTTCTCCATTCCGGAATAGAGTTGGCCCATCGAAGCACCCCCCGCATCAAAGCAAGGTCACGAGTTCGCCGGGTTTGGCCTCATTTGGTGGATGTTTCATCTGCTCCGTTAGTAGCGATGCCCTTTGTTCCGAACGTAGCGTCCACTGTAGCGTCCTTGCTACCAGTAGTAATGCCCTTTCATTTGTTTCATTTTCCGGATGAATCCTCTGGGCGCCGGCCGATCCCGTGTAACCTGGGCGCCGGATGATCTCGATCACACAAATAAGACTTTCTTGACGGTTTATGCAGATTCTTCATCTAGAAAGATTAGAAAGCTCCAACTCGTGGGTTTGTGCCCGGAGTGGATGTGTATTCGTATTTCAGGCAAGAAGACTTCTGTAGTCTGTAGACTCTTCAATTCATTGAGAGGTTCACCCCGATGGTTCTTAGAGACTGACGGGTTTCAGCCTGGAACGCCGCCACTGACGCGCCGTGGCCGAGGTGAAAGGAACCATGACCTCAAAGAGCTCAACGCGAGCAACGCGACCGCCAGTGCGTCCGGTGGGTCGGGTCGCGGTCGCGGCCGGTCACGGCCCTTTGGTGTTCGGACCTTGGAGGTCCAAAACTTACTAGCCATGGCCTCCAACCCAGTAGCAGTGGCCTCCAACCCAGTAGCAGTGGCCTCCAACCGAGTAGCAGTGGCCTCCAACCCAGTAGCAGTGGCCGCCTCCAACCTAGTAGCAGTGGCCTCCAACCCAGTAGCAGTGGCCTCCAACCCAGTAGCAGTGGCCGCCTCCAACCTAGTAGCAGTGGCCTCCAACCTAGTAGCAGTGGCCTCCAACCCAGTAGCAGTGGCCTCCAACCTGTAGCAGTGGCCTGCAACCCAGTAGCAGTGACCTGCAACCCAGTAGCAGTGGCCTCCAACCCAGTAGCAGTGGCCTCCAACCTAGTAGCAGTGGCCTCCAACCTAGTAGCAATGGCCTCCAACCCAGTAGCAGTGGCCTCCAACCTAGTAGCAGTGGCCTCCAACCTGTAGCAGTGGCCTGCAACCCAGTAGCAGTGGCCTCCAACCCAGTAGCAGTGGCCTCCAACCTAGTACGGTGGCCTCCAACCTAGTAGCAGTGGCCTCCAACCTAGTAGCAGTGGCCTCCAACATAGTAGCAGTGGCCTCCAACCTAGTAGCAGTGGCCTCCAACCCAGTAGCAGTGGCCTCCAACCTAGTAGCAGTGGCCTCCAACATAGTAGCAGTGGCCTCCAACCGAGTAGCAGTGGCCCCCAACCTAGTAGCAGTGGCCTCCAACATAGTAGCAGTGGCCTCCAACCTAGTAGCAGTGGCCTCCAACCTAGTAGCAGTGGCAACCAACATAGTAGCAGTGACCTCCAACCTAGTAGCAGTGGCCTCCAACCTGGTAGCAGTGGCCTCCAACCTAGTAGCAGTGGCCTCCAACCTAGTAGCAGTGGCCTATCTAGTAGCAGTGGCCTCCAACCTAGTAGCAACCTAGTAGCAATGGCCTCCCATCTACTAGGGATGGCCTCCAACCTAGTAGCAATTGCCTCCAACCTACTAGCAATGGCCTCCAACCTACTAGCAATGGCCTCCAACCTAGTAGCAATGGCCTTGAATCTAGTAACAATGGCCTCAACCTACGTGTTTTGTTTGGGTTGCAAAAGTTGAAGATCCCTCAACTTCTTCCCGGGGGCTATCAAATATTAGACATTCCAAACGGGAGGCCCTGGTACTTGGTCTCATTGGTGCCTTCCTCCGGAAGCGGCATGGGACGTTCTCTTGGGCGCATACCATCGGCAACCGTGATCATCATTTGAGAGGGGACTCCAAAAGCAGATGATGTACCTCGGCCGAATCATCTACCACCACCCGAGCAGAAGGAGAGATTGCTCCGAACTCAATCGGATGGTTCGGTCATATGGAAATGTGCACTTGTTGGCCTGATTTGGGTCAAGCCCCACTACTCCAGCATACGTCAGCACTCTGTCGGTTTGGAGTCTTGACATCCATCTCCAGACCGACAAAGTTGCTTTTGACACCCAAACCGAATCAGTAACCACACCGACAGTGTTCGTGCACCATGAAACCGCGGTCAACGCAAGGTTGCCATTCTTTGCACACAAGATCGACGCGCGAAACCGACGCACGCGCGGTTTCGAAACCTCTTGAGGTTTGCTCCTGGAAGCCTTTGATGAGAAGGCTCTAATCGAAGAAGAGCAGGAAGAGAGGAAGAAGGAGTGGCGCACCGATTCGACGGATTTGATACATCGTTTTCTTCGACCTTGGAAACGGTCGACCCCTCCAAGGAGGGCGTTTGTTTTCTACACGTCTCTCTTCCACCTGAAAAATGACGGACGGCCGGGCGTTGCCGCAAATGGGAACCACATATGTCCGCCTCGGGTTCTGGTGAATAAACATCCATTCGGCCTCATCCAGCAAGAAAAACTTTCGTGGGAGGCCCTCGATCAAATAGGTGGAAGCCCTGTGACTGAAAATTAAAAGGAAGCAGTTCAATGCAGTTAACGTAAAGAATGTGATACGTAATTTCCTAGTTTCCTAGAACCATGAGATGATAGTTCCAACTATACTATGAGAGCAACATAGAGCAACTGTCGAAACCAGTGACAGTTTCTGACCACTTCAGTCAAGAGCGGCTGTGGGAGAAGAGAATTTGGCTTGTTTCCTGGAACTAGCACCTCAAAAGATTGGCACAGCCTAAGAATCCTTAAGCAGTCCGGACCAAAACCAAACCCTTCCCATTCTTTCGGGTCCAGCTGTTCTTAGGGCAGCTGTTCTCCGGTCCACCACGGGGCACCACGGGGTGCCAGTCATCCCAGGACCGCTTGAGCTATGCGAAGACCAACGCCTCGTGCCCCGGACGTCACAGAGTCATTCAATAGGAGAATACACCCCAACCAATGAGTCTTTGAGTGTTCCCTGTATGGGTCTCATGCGGTGGCTACCCTCGGCTAATGCGTAAGGCAGGCACAATGAAAGAAAAACCCCTCAGTAAACATGCAAATTATAATGTACAGAAGCTTGACAAGTTCCTGCACAAACGAACAAGTGTAAAGGGTCTATAGACAGAACACCTCCACGCAGCTTTAAGATTGAATGTCGATCTGCGTCCACGATGAACGTAATCCCACAAGGAGCGTCCAACGGCGGGGCCGTTTGACACACACACACACACACGGTCATGAATGTAGGATTTTGCACTTAAATAGCCAAGGCGACGAAGTCCACCTCCATAGCACGAAATCTCGGTACATGGATGCACCTGGTTCAACCACTTCAAGAACTGGACGAATGTCCGAACCTGAGTGTTCAAGTCAGGACTTTCGTCAGCAAGAATCGATTCCTCTCTAAGTACGTTTGCACTCTCACTTTGTCATCTTTTTCAGTGACCAAAGGTACACTGGGACAACTGTCTGCGTTGCAAGTGCGAAGGACATGTTCCGGAAGACTTGTTCCACTTGTCAGCAGTGGATTCGCCCCATGGAATGTCACGAAATCAACGAATGAAGCGACAAGCGAAGGTGCGACCAAAAGGCATTCGCACCACCTCCATCACAAATGGAGCAAAGGGCAAAACCTGCCCATGACTTGGGTAAAACCTTGTGAAATCAGGAACATTTGAGACGGGCGTTTGATTGCCCTTTGCCATAGCGCGTCCCGTCGCCTGAATCCAAAAAGTGTGGAATTCATGCAACATCGCGTGCAAGGGCTGACAAGGCATCCAAGGTTATGGTCAACTTGATCGTTCCATCGACCGACCGTGGGTCACTCTCCAACCGCCGGTGTGCGAGGAAACTGGAAAACCATGGAAACTGTACTGGGGGGTCGTTGCAAAATATGCACCATACGAGCATCCAGAACTGTGAAACCATCATTGCGCACTTCAATGGCTGCTCCAGCCGACCATGTAAATTGTGGCGTATCTTGAAGGAAAGCAGAACCATCCGTGAAGATGCAACAAGGTGGGGCCACCATGGGCAACCGAAAGGCTGGCCAACTCTCCTCAAGACTGGACTTCAAGAGCCAACCTTTCCAGCCAGTGTCGACTATGCCAAAATTCCAAAATGCCTCGGATGTATGCGGCAGCTGTTGAAAAGTGAACCATGCTTGTCACGCAGATCTGGAAGCTTTTGGCAGTCAAAGACCCTATGTTGCTTGGAATCGGTCTCACCACACAAACTGCAAAATTCGTCGTGCACGTTTCTGCTGTATTTACACAGGGCCTTCCGGGTATCATTCTTTCCGACAGCGAGTGCGAGGACCGAGCCTTGGTCTCTTGCATCGAATTGCACGCAACTCTTATTGAACACATCTTGGTTGAAGGCGTCCACGTCGAACCCTTTTCGATGCGCCAACTTAGATGAAACCTGGAATGTCCATGCAACGTGCGAGATTGTGGACATGCTTTTCTGAATTGGTCATCCAGTTCAAGGTCAACCCGGAGTAGTGCCCGATACTTCCTCGCTCCAAACAAGTCCAACTCGCAGCAAAAAAGGCTGCCTGGAGGATAGCGGCTGGTCCGACGGTTCGCTTACCTGTGGATGCAAGTCTCGAACAGAAAGCTCCTTTGTCCCAGGGGTGAAAGAAACAATATTTCCTCCAGAACTTGATCTTGCGTATCAAATCACCAAGCTGTGGATCTGTGAGCTTGCCACAAAGACTGGTCGCCAACCAGGGATTGGCCCCTGCCCGACCAAGACATTGCACCATGGATGTTCGTCGGGTGCGCCATTCCGCCTCGCCATTGATCAAAGCGGCACCGTAACCCAATTGTGCCAGTTGTGATGGTGTTGGTCATCAACTTTTTGCAACGACTTTGGCAAGTTTTTACCGCGGTGCGTTCGGTTCAACGTTCGGATGGTCTTCTCCAAGCGCGTTTGCGACCTTTGGCCTTGACTTGGGCATTACGTCGCTTCTACGTCGCATCCAAGGTCCATTGCTCGATTCAACTGCAACGGTTTGCCATAAATACAAATGTGTTGTGCAGCTTTTCGACCTCGGGTTGTGTTGCTCCACACTCAACTCTTCTCTGGGCTGATCGCCATGCGCAAAAAATCTGTAAACATTATCAACCGTCTTGTGGCTGCCCGCAAAGTCGCTGCTGTGTCGCATATGATGCCCCTGTCAGCGAAAAAGGCTCGGCTCAACGGTCGGATGGTGAACAGTCAGGAATGAAGAAGCCCACACACTCGAACGGTAGATTTGCCTACTTCCAGCAATTGGAACTGAGAGTACATTGTTGCGAGCGAGCGTTTTTCATGTAGCGAGCGCCCATTTTCCCGGAGGGATTGGAACTGAGAAGTCTCCTTATTTGAGCTACACACCCAACTGCCTTTTGATGGCAGTGCCCGGGGCAAAGATTGACATGTTTCGAGACCCTATAGACCTGAGCAATGTAGAGCAGCTGGTGTAGGTTGCACAAGTTCTTGACATCTCTTAACGCTTCACGACTGGCAAACATGGTTCATGTTTCCTTTTTTTTCCAATGGGTCCAATGATCCACTGGTGCAGTCAACTTATCTACGTGAAGCAAGCTCCAACAGTGCAAATCCCAAGTGGTGGTTGATTGGAAGATCCCCAAATCGTCAGCTTGGTTTGCGTGCATTACCAGTGCGGGGTTCTTCTCAAAAGATTAAGGGCACCGGGCACATGCTACGCATGCTAGCTGCTAGCTAGAATACATTAGAATATTAGAATACTTAGAATAATGAATCGAAGAGTAGGAGAAGCGCAGCTTGGTGAATCTGAGTCAGGCAAATCGGGCCGCCGAGCCGCGGGATCTTGTGTGATCGAACGAGCCGCCGAGCCGCGAAAACCAGCGGCGCGGTGAAAGGGAACATGCTGTGTCCTCGGCGTCATCCGTTTCGTGGATTCGGCAGAGAAGCTCATGAGCTCAGACGGTCTTCCACATGATTTTCAACCAGAGAGATTCAAGGTCGTATTCTTCCCAACATATTCCCAAGTCATATATGTTTCTTTTCCAGGGAGTGGTCGCTCTGAGTCAGCTTCTCCTCCAGGGAGTTCACAAATCATTTGAGATGCTGAGGTTCGCGACCTTCGACTGGGATGAGATGGAGAAGGAAACTTGGTTCACCAGGTGTCAAATCTTTTTGCCCCTTGCTTGCATTTGCGGCATCGATCAACAGATCACCAAGGATCACCTCGTCGGGTTTGTCTCCGGATTTGGATGCCCTGGTCCTTCGGTTCCGGTTGATTCTATGACAAGAGCACAAGACAAACGGCTGGTAAGGCGGACTTGACGATCATGTTTCAGTGAAAAGAACAGTGGTACGGCCACAGGGAATCGAACATGAAGACAGTTGGTGTCTGATTCTTGGACCTTGAACAGATACTTTTTCTTCAACATTCAACATTCTATGAGTTTTGGTCCATTTTATCCGGTTGTGATGGGGAAGTGTAGTTACCCTGTTGGAAAAGCCATGTGTCTTTTCCCCCTCCAGTTCTGCAGAGCTGCGTTTGAGTATGGTTGTTTGAGTAACCAGCCAGTCAAGTCAGTGAGGCGTCCGATTTGTAGCGTATTCAAGATTCACATGGAGGGGTAGATCCATGTACATTCTGTCCACCGAACATGTAGCACATGTTCAAATCAGAAGTAATTCTACTTGTTTTCCGGGGGAAAAGGTATGAAACCAATATACATGATGGCTGGTGACCTGCCACTAGACCCCAAAAGATGTTTCAATGAAAGCCAGGCGGGCTATGGGTTATTTTTGGTCCATTATGGACATCGAATCGAATGAGATCGACCTTCTCTAAGATGTGAGTGTGAGAAAGACACCCATGCTAGAAAGCCTCCCCAATGCACGCCTATAAGATATAATGGTGCAAACAAGGAGCTTTGATGGATTTAACGGATTCTTTGGGCTTTGACGCTTTGTCCAGTTCGGACGGCTCCCGGCGATGTGAAGAAACCACCGCCCCAGGCAATCCACTCGCTATGAGTTTTTGATTGCCGCAGCTGCTCGGCTGGCAATGCGGTCCGTGCCGAAGATCTCCCAGGGCCTCTTGCCGCCAGCAGTTCAGGGCTTCGGTGTCAGGAACCACCTGCTTGCAGGAAACACCTGGATCCAGGGTGTATCAGTTGATGGTTGATGTACTCATTCCCAGGATTCCAGTCCTAAAGTCACCAGATTCGAGCGTCAGACTCCGATCCCACAAGCATCAGACCCAGCAGGATCAGTAAGAATATCACTCCGTTGATACGGAGGACTATGGAGGACCTTTGGATATCCCCAATCAGTGCTCAGTTTTTTTCATGGATATGCCGGAGTACAGTACAATCAGTGCTCCTTTTGAGCGAAGGGGGGTCCAATGCTACTATCTCATACCACCTCACTGTGATTTTGGGAACAAGAACAAGGTTCGACCCAGGTACAAACACATCATATAAGACAATGCATAACAAGGCTGGAGGTTGGCAGCTATTGATTTTAGCTATTCTATTTAGGCATCATGAAGGAAAATCCTTGAACTGTCAACTAGACCCACCAACAGACCAAACAGCTCCAAGAAAACACAAATTACACCCAGGAAAGCATGACACACACACACACCAGCCACAACAGCAATCCACAGTTCATAAAGACCCGGAAACAAATGGGCTACAGGCTACAAAGGCTATTGTTTCTCTTCTATACCTTTTGCTTGTCTTCTTGGGGCTGTCCGCACACCCCTCTGCTGGGATAGCCTGGGTGGAACACAAAAATGAAACGGATCAATGGACGTGCTTCAACGTAAGGTCTTAAGAATACTTCCCTCTTATTGACCCTTCCGAAATGATTTCCAGAGAGAGAGAGAGAGAGAAAGAGCGAGTATAGCTGAAGCATGCTAAAGCATTTTGCACAATTCGGTGTCGTCTGGGGCCGGGGTGGCCAAGGTTGAGTCAAGTCAGACATCCACAGACGTTAGGTTCAGTGGGAGCTGATGGTCTTCCCACAAATGCATCCCCCAGACGTTGGCATCCCGCCTTTGGTGGCGCTCAGAGGGGCAACTCTTCTCGCTTCAAAACGGGCTGACGCTTACAGTAACCATGGAACGGGGATCATCTGTTTGAATCAGATCTTATGGTCTTACTAGGCATAATCATTCATTGGAATCAGGTCTGTGTGGAAGCTGGAGGCACAATCTCATTCACTGGCATATCCTTGGATCTGAAGGATCGACATCCATTCGGACGACACCTCGAACAGAGGGGTTCTTTCATGATTGGGTGATGGGGATTCTAATTATTGTTGGACATTGTTTGCCTTGCGGCAAAGCCTTATGAGTCCACACACGAACTTGTTGTTGAGGAATTAGACGTGGGAATGCATGTCCATGCAAGCAAGGTACCATGGGTTTGAAAGATGTCCCAGTAGCCGTAGACATTTGAGGTGATTTGCTACTTGGCCCTGTAGTTCTCAACTAGTTGACAACAACAGCTCAAGCAGGGGTGCAATGGATACCACAAAACCAACACAATTCCAACTTATGCCAGCAAGAGATACTGAACAACAACAAGAACAAGAACAAGGTACAATCAAAAACTGCAACCCCGTTACAACATATCTTCTTCCTTTGTCTCTACAAGGGGGTGGAAACAACAACTGCAGCCCCGTTTGTTGTTTTTTGACCCCCCAGCAAACAAGTACTTATACCACTAGTGGTAGTGTTTGTACTCGTGCTCGTACCATTGGTAGTAGTGGTGGTGGTGGTGGTGGCGGTGGTGGTGGTGTAGTGTGTAGTAGTGTGTAGTAGTGTGCAGTAGTAGCAGTAGTAGTAGTAGTAGTAGTAGAAGTAGTAGAGGTAGAAGTAGAAGTAGTAGTAGTAGTAGTAGTAGTAGTAGTAGAAGTAGTAGCAGTAGCAGTAGCAGTGTAGCAGTAGCAGTAGCAGTAGAAGTAGTAGTAGTAGTAGTCGTCGTCGTCGTCGTCGTCGTCTTAGTCGTACTAGTAGAGTAGCACTACTAGTAGTCTCAGTAGAAGTAGTAGTAGTAGTAGTAGTAGTAGTAGTAGTAGTAGTCGTAGTCGTAGTCGTAGTCGTAGTAGTAGTAGTAGTAGTAGTAGTAGTAGTAGTAGTAGTAGTAGT